GGTTGTCTTTTGAGGAGTTGTCGTCTGAGGAGAGGGCTTAAGCATGCTCTAGGCTGTGGGTTTCAGCAGGAAATAAGATGCCAGCAGAGACCTTGGCCCTACACAGATTGTTGGCAGGTTCTGGTTGCAAGGCTGATGGAGGAGTGCATCTGGAGGCAATGTTTCCTGAGATTTGGAGTCTGGCTTGTGGCTCCCCAAACCTGCATGTCAGGGAGTACCCCAGTTCCTGGATTCATGAGCCCAGGATTGGTCTCTTTTTTTGATACACGCGCGCACGCACACACACACACACACACACACGCTATGGCACAAGGGCACAAACTCATTGACTGGCTGGCCTCTCCGACTCCCCCATCCTGTCCCTTAAACCTGCAGTATCCCTGGCCATCCCTAGCCCCCTGGCTGTCCATGAGAGTGGTGTTAGCGACACGGTGGCCCTTGGCCAGAAGCGGCTCCCGCTGCATCTTCCTGTCGCCGCCACCAGGCTAAATATAACCTGACACTGCACAGCCCTGGGCTGCTCCTCCGGAGACAGCCTCTGCCTTGGGGGCGGACAGGGCCAACTGCAGCCTCAGCCTCCCTGCCCTCGGTGTGACTTTGGGCTCATTTTGGCACAGCTCCTCCTGCTTGGAGTGGGGCAAGGGAGGTGACCAGGATGAGGGTGCTAGAGGTCACCTTCCCTGCAGGGACCTGCTACTCTGCCTCATTACAGCTCCAGATGCTTCTATAATGCCATCTGTCACCTCATCTGGCCCCCAGAGCAGGAATCACTTGTCCCTGTGGTACCCATAGAGAGCCTAAGCTCAGAGAGAGGTGGGTCTGTCTCCAGCACACAGCAAATGTGAGGGACAGCAAGGGTCCAGGTCTCCTGATTGTTGGAACCAACTGCCTCTGTTTCCCAGGGCACATCCACTGCTTTGTATGTTTTGTCTTGCTCTATCTTGTTCAGATGCCAAATTAGGGTCCTATTGAACACTTGTCTTAGTCAGGGTAGGCACCAGGGACATCTTGGTCTTGTCCTAAGTGCTTCACTTGTGCTGGCATGCACAGTGAGACCATGGGGCGATGGGGAAGCCATGAAGCCTGCTGCCCTACAGGTGAGCTAGGTGAGATTCTGACCTCACCAACTTGCCTGAGGCTGTGCAGGTCATCTGCAGGCCTCCTCTCCCCAACCTGCCATAGTTTCTGTTAAGGCAGGCCTGGGCCAGTGGTACCCATAAGTGGGAAATTAGGTTTTGGTGTACTGGATGGATGCCTGACCTAGGTGAGTGAGGATACCAGGCAGGGTAATGTCACTCCAAAGTGAGCCCCTTTGTGTGACCTGGCACCGGATGCAAGCAAGCCAGGGTTTGTAGTCTGAACGGGACATTTTCTGCTGTCGGAATGAGCTGAACCTGCTGCACCAGGGTCCCTTCCGTTGCCTCTTCTCTTGGTGACTTACAGTGAGCAGCATGATTTTTGAAGGCTGTTGGGAGATAAGCTGGCCTAGGTCATCAAGACCAAAGGCTCTACCAGTTCCTATAGGTATATGATTTCTAGCATACCTGACAACCCTGTCCATATTTCTATCCTGAGCGGTCAAGGACAGGCCTAGATTGGGCAGGAAGGCTTTGTCACCCAAAAATGGGAGCTCTAAAGCCTGTCTGGAGCTGGGGGGAATAAGGGTATGCTTTGGTATTAGTCACTTAAATCAGACTATCCCAGGGGCCAATTGCTAAGGTTCGTCTTTCTTCTGAGTATGCAGAGCTCTCGTTAGGCCAGGCTCCAAGCCTGTCATATACTATGTCATTTCATCCAGACTTTGGACCTGTGGAGTAGGTGTGATCCACCTTGTATGGCAGACAAGCATTCTGTATGGTGACTGGCCCACAGATTGTGCCACCTCCTCTTTGAGAAAGAGAATAAGACTCCGGCTTCTCCCCTTTCAGCATCTCCCAGTCCCATCCTTTCTGGAGTGCTCCCAGGGCTGTCTGCCTCTTGAATGTGGGCAGTGCCTGCCACAGAGTGGTGCTGGGTGGAACTGCAGTCTTGCCTAGCTCTGGCCCCAGGGGCCGGCCTGGAGACTGCCTCTTCCTTGGATGAGCTGGGTCACTGGTGGGATCCCAAGTAGAGTGGGAGGGAGGAACAGAGTAAGTCTGGGGTCCTGAGGCTGCATAGAGGCTGGGTAGATAGCCAATATCCCAGGATCCCTGGGGACAGCTCAGTCACTTGTTCTCAATCTTTCTTCTTAGCTGGGAACCTGATTGCCTAAGGTGACCACAACTTATCTATCTGTTCTGTGCTAGTATCTAGCTTCAGCCATCTGTGGGCCTCCAGGCTGGCTTTCCTTCTCTTACCCTCAAGAACCCTCTCCATACTTCTAGTCAACTACAAGGTAGGGTCCTATGGGCAGGCCTGGCCAAAGAGCTGGGTTTGGAGACATGTTAGGTCATATAAGACTTGGACAACTTGGCAAGTGAGATGGTACCTCAAGATCCTACGGTGTGCTTGGTCTTCAGCTCTCTTTGTTTCCAAGTACAGTACTCCCAATCTCTGTTTCCCTCAGTGATAAGATAGGGCTGGCGGTGGGTGTGTGGGTGTGTCACATTTTTGGAACAACCAGGCCTTTGATGTGATATTTGAAAAGAAAAATTCCTTGCATGTCAATTAAGGAGTGTCAGGCGTGTCCTGTGAGAGGGGCATATCTTGAGGTTTCTCCTTGGGAGAATTAAAAACAATTATTGTGAGATGCAGGGACTGGAATCACCATCTGAGATGTCAAGGGCCGAGGTAGCCATCTGAGAAGCAAGGTCCTGGTCTGTGCTTTTCTCTTGCAGAATAGTCTGGGATAACTTGGGGATAAAGTGCTAAAGACTCCAGGTCATCATTTCTGTCCCCTTCAGGGACAGAGCCCCTAGGTCATCTGAAAGAGCCAAAGTCATCTTGGTTTTAGACTCTTTGATACATATCCTGGTGAGCATAGTGGCTTGGAGCCTAGATCTCTGGGGCTTTTGGGGGTAGATGCTGGGGTCTCCCAGGCCATGGTATCTTGGTCTCCCGCCTGAGGAGGCCAGTTCCTGCTCAGGCCGCTGCCGGCCATCACCATATTAGGACATAAACTCCAGGCTGTCTGTCTGGGTGCCAAACGGCCTCCAGCTGGGCCCAGGCCACCCCCGCCCCCAGCTTCAACACCACAGCTGTGTGTCAGAGGCCGGAGGTCAGGGGACAAGAGCAGCTGCTAAAGGGACACCCAGGCAGAGTTCCTGAGCTCAGGGCCCTTGGGTAGGGTAAGAGGGTCCTGGCTATGGTGAGTGTAGGGTCTTGGGTGGGGCAGAGAGCTCCCCACAGGCTTTCCTGGGTCTTCCCCTCACCTCTGTACCAGTTTGTCTGAGTGGGTTTGGAGGCTCTCATTTCACAGAGAACCCACAGCTGCTAGAATCACTTGTCTGCCGTGGTCTCACTCACCTACCCAGCATGTCTGCACTGTGGTTGGCCAGTGTCTCCAAGAGCCAGGGCCCTCGCAGCTGGCTGACCTGGCCACAGCTTTCGCTCTTCTGCACCGTTGGCACTCGCTCCTCAGGCCTGACTGACAGACATCAGTGAGTTCTAGGTTTTAGTCTTCCTTTGATGCCAGTTGCCACCCCTCCTGCACACCGGGGCCAGTGGTCAGAGTAAGGGGAGGGGCAGAGGGCAGAGAGACCAGCCTAGGGAGGTTCCAGGACATAGACGTAAGGGAGACAGAGGCTTGTTGATAGGGCTCTCCAGAGACCATGTGACTCTTTACTTCTTTCCCAACCTCCTTCTTCCTGACTTTCTTTTCCATGTCACTATACCGCTGTCCCACTGACACCATGGTCCATCTCTGGCTTCCAGGGCACATTAGTTATTCTAGGTGTTGGGCCCTTCAGAAGGGATGTGACCATGGGGAGGCAGAGAAGCCAGATGAGCAGAGGGAAGCCTGGATGATGGTGGACAGGAGTTGACAACCTGTCTGGGACCCTGTGAGAGGGCCAGGATGTCATTTTACCCTTCTGATTCATCAAGGAGGACTTCCTGCAGGTGGGACTCTTAGCTTGACCCTGGCAGGGACATTGCTCTGAGTCCATCTCAGGTCAGCAATCTCCATGGAGGGCATGGTGTTCCTCTGAGAGCCCAAGGGAACTGGTGGGCTTGTTTGGCCTGCTCCAGGGACTCTGAGGGAAGGAAAGGAGGAGTCAAGAACAAGAAGGTGAAGAAAGATCTCATATCAGTGTTTCTCAGACTCGGTGAGGGATCAGGGTTCTTGGTTTCTGCCATGTCTCAGTCCAGTACTTCCATGGTGTGGAAGACTGCATGCTTGGAAACTGTGGCAGTCCCAAAATGTTACAAAGTTTTTGAAACTCTTTATTTCAAGTTGCATAATTATCTTGTGGAACTACACAATGTCTGGGAACCAATCTAAAGAGAACTGAGGCAAGGCAGATACAGTAACCAACCATCTGTAGTGTTGACATGCTAGGGCTTGCTCATACAAGCTTGAGAGTGACGACCATTCCATTCTATATGTGAGGAAAATGAGGCACACGGATGTTGGACAGGTTTTTTTTCTTTTTAAATAAATGTATATATCTTTTAGCAACAGAGCTAGGATTCTGGACTAAAACATGGGGTCCTGGCCTTTGAAGGAAGGAAAAACAAAGGCCCATTGAAAAGATGGGGGATATAGATGAAAACATAGAGGAAGAAAGGACCACAAGCCAGAGAGAGAAGGTGAAAACAGGGAAAGAGGACTGAGAAACGAGGTGAGCAGTGAGTGAGTTGAACAGACAGAATGAGGGGAGAAATGCAGACTGGCTTGGCAGTCTGGCACAGCCAGGTGCAGGATCAGGCTGGGTCAGGAATTGCAGGTGTGGGCTATGGGGGTGCGGTAGAAGTGGATGGGCTCTTTTGGGTTCAGAGGTCCTTCCTGGTCACTTTGTGTCCTACCTATGTGGTGAGGAAGATGTAGTGTCACCGTGGTCCCTGCCCTCCCTCCTCTGCAGGGAGCTGCTTCCTGTGTCTGGTGGATGTGGTGCCTGTGAAGAATGAGGATGGAGCTGTCATCATGTTCATTCTCAACTTTGAAGTAGTGATGGAAAAGGACATGGTAGGGTCCCCAGTTCGTGACACCAATCACAGGGGGGCCCCCACCGGCTGGCTGGCCTCTGGTAAGTGCAGCCAAACTCCTGAGCCAGCTCAGGATTGAATGTTGCTCATGACCCTGGTTCTGTGGGAAGGGAAGTAGTTAGTATGTGTGTGGGGGGATGCAAGGAGCAAGGAAGACCTGGTCAGTCCCACCTGGACCAGGACGGACAAACACCTGCGCAGCCGCAGGGCCCAAAGTCCTTTAGGCAGAACACATGTTTTCTAGCCTTGCCTTTTGGATACTCACCCAGCACCCTGGAGGAATAATAGGTGCTTGCTTAAGCAGCATTAGCCATTGGCTCATTAGAAAGCTTTCCTCATGGACCCAGCTCTTCTGTGGTCTGGCCAAGTCCCAACAGTGGAGGTTAATGGAGGAGAGGATGGGAAGGCATGCTGGCCTTGGCTGTAAACATTTCCCCTGGTTGGCCCAAAGGCTCAGATCCTCTGCTTTCCCCAGGTGGCACTTTTTGGGTTTAATTAAAACAGCAAAGCTCACCTCTTGGGTTTTAGTGATCCTAGTTCTATGGATGCCAGCAGGGTGTAGGAGAGAGCTTTCGGCATCACTCCCCACTCACTGTGTGACCTTTAGTGACCCACTCAAGGCTTAGACCAATCTCTGAATGTGTCCCAACCAGTACAATTGTGGAATCATGAAAGAGTTCACGAAGTCTGCCTAAAGTGCGGTGGGAAAGGGCAGTTGATGACAAGCTTTAGATAGAATTTTCTGGGTTTGGGAATCAAGCGCTGTGCATGGACTGGAGTGAGGGCCTTCCACTGTCAGGGTCTCCAGTTCTTTTTGGTCAACCCTCACTCCATAGGCCTTTCTTTCCCCCACAGGTCGAGCCAAGACCTTCCGCCTGAAGCTGCCTGCCTTGTTGGCGCTGACTGCCAGGGACTCATCTGTGCGGACAGGAGGCATGGGCAGTGCTGGAGCCCCTGGGGCAGTGGTGGTGGACGTGGACCTCACGCCTGCAGCGCCCAGCAGTGAGTCCCTGGCCCTGGATGAGGTGTCTGCCATGGACAACCATGTGGCAGGGCTTGGGCCTGCAGAAGAGAGGCGGGCTCTGGTGGGCCCAGGGTCTGCTTCGCCAGCGGCCAGTGTCCGAGGCCCTCACCCATCACCAAGAGCTCAAAGCCTCAACCCTGATGCCTCAGGTTCCAGCTGCAGCCTGACCCGGACACGCTCCCGAGAAAGCTGTGCTAGCGTGCGCAGGGCATCCTCCGCCGATGACATCGAGGCAATGCGGGCTGGGGCACTGCCCCCTCCACCCCGTCATGCTAGCACCGGTGAGGGTGCAGGCCTGGGGGACCCTACTCCAGCTCCTCACTTCCTGTCTGCCAAGCCTTCCCTGTCCCAGGCCCACCATTTCCTCTTTCTCTTCTACCTCTTGGGTGCCTGGGAGTCTGGGAGATGGAAATCCCATTAAGAACTTATTTAATCTCATTAAGTGGCCTTTTACTCTGTTAAGTATCCATTCATCTCATCGCTTTCTTCTACTCACGGAGCCCTTGCCGGCCCAAGGGGCTGGCTGTCCCTGGACATCCCGGAACAGGGATGCCCATGGAACTAGAAAGAGACAAGAGAGATTTAGAGGCTCCTGACACTATCTGATCCTTTCTACACCTTTCTCCTGCCTTCCCTTCATGGTGGCATGCTTCCTTAAAGCTCAGAGGGGGGCGAGCCCTTGCTTGTTTTCATGGGTCTCCTGAGCTACCCCGCTGTGTATTGTCTCATCCTACAGTGAGTTTGGTCTCATTGTAGTCTTTGTGTCAGTGGCCTGGCTCCCCATCAGCTCCTGGCCTGCCCATCTGACCAAGCTTTCTCTTTCTATCCCAGGGGCCATGCACCCCCTGCGCAGTGGCCTGCTTAACTCCACCTCAGACTCGGACCTCGTGCGCTATCGCACCATTAGCAAGATCCCCCAAATCACCCTCAACTTCGTGGACCTCAAAGGCGATCCTTTCCTGGCTTCACCCACCAGTGACCGGGAAATTATAGCTCCCAAGATAAAAGAGCGGACCCACAATGTCACGGAGAAGGTCACCCAGGTAGGTGTCCGGGTACATGGTTCTCTGCTCACCTTGGAGGGGTTGGAATTAGTGAAGAAGGCCAAAGTTGCAGTCAGAGTGGGGGTTGAAGGGCTAGTCAGTAAGGGAAGCTGTTCTGGGGGTGGGTGGGGAAAATGCCTGAACTGGGGTATGAGATGAAAAGGCTTTTAGAGAAAGAGGCTGGTGGAGAGGGAGGGAGGAAGGGAGGAGGCTTTAGGAGGGTAGGTGTGGATGAGCGGTGGATGGGATGTGGGACTCCTGGGTACAGGCTGAAGACTAGGTCCTTGAAACTAGGACCTGGGAGGCCATGGTGGGTAAGAGAAGGCAGTCAGAAAGATGGGAAGGATGTGTCTGAGGGGATTACCGGACAACAGGAGAAGGCCTCAGTTAGAAAGGACTACACAAGTCAAGGTCAGGAAGGCCTTGATTCTTGTAGGTCCATGTGGTGTACCAGGTGGCTTAGGTACCTGCCGGGTCCCCCCTAGTGTGGGAGAGTAGGGTTTCTTTCTGGTGGTTGGTGGGGAGAGCTGGTGATGGGTATAAAGCTGTCAAGGGATTGAGTTCCTGTCTCCTTGCCCAGAGAAGAACACGGGATTTTGATTTCTGTGCCTTAGGGCTCCTGGTCTTCTTGTCCCTCCCTGCAGTGAGGTGGGTCACAGCACCTCCACTGCCCACTCAGTCATGGCTCCTTTTCATCTTGGCAGTGGTGAGGTCTTAGTAGTGAGAATCTCAGGAGAGGAGGGGACTGTTGTTCTATGCCGTGCTCGCCTGGAGCAGCTGCCCTATGAGGGAACTGCCCAGCTCTGGACTCCCTTGACCAGCCTTCTGGCCGTATTCCCATGTCTCTGGCTCTCTGGGTTCATGCCAGGTCTCCAGCCCCTTTGCCTTGCCTCCAGAACATGCCCCTCACCCCATAGCCTTTATCTAGCGCGTCCATCTCCCTCTCCTGTTCCTACCTCCCTCTTCTCACCTGGGTGCCCGGCATCTGCCCTGTTCCTGGACCCAAAGTGTGAGAGCCTACGGTGTGTGGGTCTTTGCCTGTCCGTCTGTGTGACTGCGTGTGGTGCCCCTGCCAGTCACCTGGCATCTCTCCATCTCTGGGTGTCTCTGCCTGACTCTGGCTGGCTCGGCACTGGACTGGCGGGGCGGGGGTGTTGGGGAGACCATTAATCTGCGGTGACAGGCCAGGCTGCCGGGTGGAGGGGGAGGGGCTAGGGCTGCGGGAGCGGCTGCAGCAGGAGCCTAGAGCGGGCTGCGAGGGAGGGGGCCGCTGGCCGGGCACGGGGCAGAGGGCGGGCACGGGCTGGGCGGGGGGTGAGGGGGGCAGGGTGGCGGAGTGGGGGTGGGAACCTGGGAGGAGGAGGGGCCGGCCAGCAGAGGCGCTTACCGCTCGGCTGCTAGGCTGGCGGCAGGCGGGCACAGCACAGCACCCTGGTAGCGGGGGGCCCACACCAAGGGGCCATGTGCAGCAAGAGCCAAGCAGGCAGCTGTCCATACTCACTGCTCAGGAGACCCCAGCCCCAGGGCCTAGCCCAGCCATTCTGGCTTCATGCCAGAGGCGGTCTTGGCTGCCCATCGGCCAGCCTTGGGCTGGCAGCCTGGACTGGGACTGCTGCTGGGGCACAAGTGAGGCACTAGCCGGGCCCTAGGGCCCTAGGGTAGTCAGGTTGGGGGGAACCAAGTCTTCCATGGCGGTCCCAGCAGGGAAAGAGAGCAGGACAGGGGCTCTGCAGCCCAGGGCCCAGAAAGGCCGGGTAAGGCGGGCAGTGCGCATCTCCAGCCTGGTGGCCCAGGAGGTAGGTGATCCCCTCAGCACCCTATCCTTTTCTTGGGCTGGGACACTGAGGCCGGTGGGGGTGTGGCCCAGAGGGATCTGGCTGCAGTTGGGGAGAGGGCTTCTGAGAAGGACAGATTGGGAGCCCTGTGTTCTTCTGTATGGTCCACTCCTGAGCTCCTCATTGCTTTCCTCCTTGGCCGCTGGCTAGGTTCCCAGGGTTTCCCTTGCCTTGGCAACCCCTTTGGTATGGCACCCCCTTTTGTATGGCTTCTGTGGCCCACAGTCTTCTAGTTTATAATGTAAACGGAATAGAGAGATACCAGGAAGCAGATAGGTGTCTAAAGAGGATGGTGGGAGTTGGAGGGAGACAAGGAACCATCAGACCTGGGCCAGCCCTGACACAGGTGTCGGGCTCCCTCGCTCTGGGACTCCATGGTGAGCACTGGAGGCTTGGCTTACTCCGCAGGGTTCTGGAGGTGGAACCTCAGAAGAGTAGGGGTCAGAGGCTGCTTGATGGACAATAAGGAGAGAGGCATGGCTCACCTCTTTAGGGCATCCTGGACCCTTGTCCCCTGGGCTGGTGACCGCCCCCTAGGAGCCACCTCTCTGCCCTACTGGCTCTCCTGCTTTAGAACCTGGAGGTAGCTCTGGGTGATTTTAAGAATCCCACCCCTGCCACTATCACTGCTATCCCTGACTCGCTCTGTCTGGGCTCCTGGGCTCCTCCCCGCTGGAGAACAGGCACAGGTGAGAGTTTTCCTTCCCAAGGTGAAGATCCAAGGTTGAGTCAGTCTTTCCTAGGACAGCAGATCACAGGGATTATAGCCCTGGCCTGCGGCCATGTGGTAAGCCAGTGGTTTCAGAGATAGGTCTGGATAGACTGAGTTAGCAGGTTTGGGCCTTGTACCCCAGACTTTCTGTATATAGGAATGCAAATGTGCACTGGGGCTGTGGGCAGACCCGGGGGACAGGGTCACTGATGTGTGGGTGGCCCAGCATAGCTCCCCAGGCACAGAGAGGGGTCCTGTGAAGTGACAGTTACCTCCTTTTGTTCCTCATCTGTGGGGTCCTAGCCTGTTCTTTTTTGATACATGAAAGACACTAACCTCACGTGCATTAACCCTCTATTTTAATGAACAAGCCCTCAGGCTGAAGGCAGGGCAGACCTAGGATCTGTCTCTGACCAGAGTCCTGGTGGTCATTCCCACCCCATCTGGTTTCTCTGAAGTCTCTCTCCATCCCAGGCTGGCCAGACTCCTCCCCAAGACTCATCTTTCTTACTGGCTCCTTTCCTTGCGATATTCTCTAAACAGCCCACCTGTGCAGATAGGCTTAGGGGATTCCCTCCTGAGCTTGAAAGAGAGTCTTGGATTTCATCGAGCGTAGAGGTCCCAGGCTGTGGGATGTAGTGCTTCTGGGACAGGGCTAAAACTCTGGGGGTGGGGAAGGCTAGGTTCTGGTTGCAGGGATGGCAGGGTCAGAGGCTAGAGGGATTGGGTGGGGACTCTGGCTGAGTTTGATGTCTACCAAAGGATTCTAAGGAATGGGTGGATATGGGGGCTTCTGACACTTGGGAAATCTAGTTCTTCCTGGTTTGGTTTGGGAGCAAGAGTGGTGAATGTGCTTGCTGCCCCTGTCCCTATGGGTGAGCCTCCCCTGCCTGACTGTTGGGGAGCATGTGCTTTCCCTTGTCTGAAAATGGGGTTCTACACAGGCCAAGGGTGCACTTCTGAGCCATCCTGGGTGTACATCTCTCTGTATACTTGAGGTGCCAGGTTCTCAGTGTTGGACTCTGTCCCCTGGGTCCCTTTGTAAGAGTGTGGGAGACTTCTCTGGGACGGGGTGGAGAGGGACCTGAGAGAGAAAAAGTAGCAGCAGGGAAAAGGTTCCTCCCCTGAGGGAGGCCAAGGGGCCTGAGAATGGTGGCTGGCGTCCTTGGACAAGTATGAGCTGTGAGGGAACTGCAGTGACTATTTTATGTGTTGGGACTCTGGCTCCTGGGCTCACTGCCCAGCTGGGAACTGCAGTCCTTGGAACATATTCTGGACTGAGACAGGGGAGCATGTGTGTTAGTTTTGGGGCTATGGGACAAGACTGTAGGTGCAAGTTGCATAGTCTGAGGATCTGGCCTGCTTTGCTGATTGGGAACAGCGTTAGGACTTCCTGCATTATGACCTAAGTTCAAGTATTTTGGGGGCTTGTTAGAGTTGTGTGGAGCCAGCCAGGATGTCCCCCTGCTGGGTGACATTCTGGGAACTTGTAGTGCCTCAGTCTGAGGGTAGTCAGTTGCTATGGCTACTTGGCTGAAGGATGAGCATTCTGATGAAAATGTGTTCTACTTGGCCACAGTAAGGATGACACCAGCTTCTGCTTTGAAGTTCCATGACCGTCATCATCCACCCCTTCCCTCACTGCCTAGGTTCTGTCCTTGGGAGCCGATGTGCTGCCTGAGTATAAGCTGCAGGCCCCAAGAATTCACCGTTGGACCATCCTGCACTACAGCCCCTTCAAGGCTGTGTGGGACTGGCTCATTCTGCTGCTGGTCATCTACACGGCCGTCTTCACACCCTACTCGGCTGCCTTCCTGCTGAAGGAGACTGAAGATGGGTCCCAAACCCATGACTGTGGCTATGCCTGCCAGCCTCTGGCCGTGGTGGACCTCATCGTGGACATCATGTTCATTGTGGACATCCTCATCAATTTCCGCACCACCTATGTCAACGCCAATGAAGAGGTGGTCAGCCATCCTGGTCGCATCGCCGTCCACTACTTCAAGGGCTGGTTCCTCATTGACATGGTGGCTGCCATCCCCTTCGACCTGCTCATCTTTGGCTCTGGCTCTGAGGAGGTGGGCTTAGCAGGAGGCAGCATGGAGAAAAGGGCCAGGAGGGGGTAGTGTGAAGGATAATGGGGAGGGGGATACTGCACAGGAAAGGAGGGTTCCTAACAGATCATGCTTGTTCACGCACAGGGTCATAAGGAGCCCCTCGAAGGGGCTCTTTTTTTCTAACTTGTCTACTGAATGGGGGATATAATTTTCTAAGGTACACAAAAGTGTCCTCAAAAGCTAGTTAGAACTCTGGTCTAGCACCTTAAGGTGACTGTTGGCCCTTTGGGAGCCCGTTTCCTCATTCTCATCATGGAGACCCTTACCATTTATCTTGAAGCTGGCACATAGAATAACAACATGCGTGCTGGGAGCAGTGTGGGAGGCACTTTACACCAGGTGGCTTTCATTATCATTGAGCGCTTCCAGGAAGAAGCCTTTTATGGTGTCACCTCTGTACCCTCTACTACAGTGCGCCTTACTCATGTGCCCTCACACTGAACATGCCCCCTCCTCTAGCTGATCGGGCTGCTGAAAACTGCGAGGCTGCTGCGGCTGGTGCGTGTGGCTCGGAAGCTGGACCGCTACTCGGAGTACGGAGCAGCGGTGCTCTTCCTGCTCATGTGCACCTTCGCGCTCATTGCGCACTGGTTGGCCTGCATCTGGTACGCCATTGGCAACATGGAACAGCCTCACATGGACTCACGCATTGGCTGGCTGCACAACTTGGGCGACCAGATCGGCAAGCCCTACAACAGCAGCGGCCTGGGCGGCCCTTCCATCAAGGACAAGTATGTTACAGCACTCTACTTCACATTCAGCAGCCTCACCAGCGTAGGCTTCGGCAATGTCTCCCCCAACACCAATTCAGAGAAGATCTTCTCCATCTGCGTCATGCTCATTGGCTGTGAGTGCGTCCTGGAGGCGGGGTGAGGGGCGGAGCCATGACTGGGTAGAAATGATAGTGAAAGTTCTAGGTGGAGCAAAGTGGCTATCGGAGCTCCCTGCCCCGCCCCCTCCTCTTCCCCTCCTAGACTCCCGGGCTCACAAAATAGTCTGGAGGCTGGGATACAAAGGCAGGAAATGCTGAAGGTTGGCGTGTGTTTGAGCATGTGTATGTCCACTCTCAGACTGAGACGTGACCGGACCGCGAGTGTCGTTGACCTGGTGCGGGGCCTGAGCAGAGGGTCCCCGTGGGCGGGCGGGGTCCCTGCGGATGCTGACGGCCCCACTCACCCACGCCCTCAGCCCTCATGTATGCCAGCATCTTCGGCAACGTGTCCGCCATCATCCAGCGGCTGTACTCGGGCACGGCCCGCTACCACACACAGATGCTCCGGGTGCGGGAGTTTATCCGCTTCCATCAGATTCCTAACCCACTACGCCAGCGCCTCGAGGAGTACTTCCAGCACGCCTGGTCCTACACCAATGGCATCGATATGAATGCGGTGAGGCACCAATGGGTGTGGGGGCACCCTCGTGCATCCAGCATGCCTCAGATGGTTGTAATTAGTACTGAGGAACCTTAGAATTACATAGGCTATTGATCCGTGAAACTCCTTCACCTGGAGTTCCCCTACTGAAAGAAACCAGGTCTTTCACATACCCCACTACAGCTGGAGGTGGGGAACCAATTGCTGCACTTCCACATAAGAACTTGGTCAGGCTGGAAACTTAGGTACTGAGGGGTTCTGGGCTCCCAGGGCTCTGCAGAGGATGGAATTGGGAGGAACAGGTTTTCCCTGAGCCAGAGGTGTGAGGCAGTGGACTGGTGTTTGGGCTGAGTGCCAAGAGAGTATCCTGAACCACCCCCGTTTTTAGGTGCTGAAGGGCTTTCCTGAGTGCCTGCAGGCTGACATCTGCTTACATCTCAACCGCTCCCTGCTGCAGCACTGCAAACCTTTCCGAGGGGCCACTAAAGGCTGCCTGCGGGCCCTGGCCATGAAGTTCAAGACCACACATGCACCACCAGGGGACACATTGGTCCACGCTGGGGACCTGCTTACTGCCCTCTACTTCATCTCCAGGGGTTCCATCGAGATCCTGCGGGGTGATGTCGTGGTGGCCATTTTGGGTATGGGGTGGGGATGCCCACTGAGAGACCTCAACTCAATGAATACACTGGGGGTATGGGGTTGCTGGCAGGATTCTTGGGCTCTTTTATCTCATCTGAGGGTGGGCTTTCAAGGCGGGCAACAGAAAGGAGCCCTGCAGGACCTGGGGCTGTTGGACTGAGAGACTACCTAACCTCCCCTGACTTGAGGGAACATTAGGCTCTACCCACAGGCAGGCGCCTTCTGTTTCTTTGAAGCTGAGTATCATCTGGCAGTGGCGTGGGAGGTACCCAGGTGGAGACTGTGCATTCAGTTTCACTAAGGACACACTTCCCTAAAGTTTCATATAGCATACATGCCCAGAGGAGTCTTGTTTCTTTCCTGTCCCCCACCGATGGCCACTGTGGGTGTGGCCTGCACTTGGACACTGGAGACTTCTTGTCCTCCCATGCTCTTTCTGTGGTCCTGCAAGCATCAGACTCTTGGCTATGTCACTGTAGGGCATTTTAGATTTTTATTTCACAGTTCAACCCAAACATGTATACCGCTCCACAGTCTACTCCCTTTCCCACTAAATCAAGTGTTGCTACACATGTGTGTATAGTTTGGTCTGCTGTGCTTGGCTGTGCTAAGCTATGCTGTCCCGTTTTCCTTCAGTAAAACAATACTGGTTTTGATTAATTACTGTGTTGTCAATTGTTTTTAGGGCACTGCAGTTGGTTAGGAGGGCATTTAAGGGTAGAAGTAGGGTTATCCCAAGGAAGTCATGGCTATAGGCAGAGCTGGAACATTCTGGGTGGTTTCTTCTGGTTGAATAGTTGCTGAGAGACTCCAAATCCCTGGTCCCTTCTGCTGGCACCTCTGGCCACTAGCGCTGCCTTGGGAATATGGACTGGCTCATGCTTCCTTGACTGTGTATCTAGGAACTGGATGATTGGAGATGTCCCAAAGGAGGGTGCCTGCTACTCTCCATGCTGGTGACATAGGCTGAAGTCTTTGTCTTCTCCATGGCCTCCAGGGAAGAATGACATCTTTGGAGAACCTCTGAACCTGTATGCACGTCCTGGAAAGTCCAATGGGGACGTGAGGGCCCTGACCTACTGTGACCTGCACAAAATCCATCGTGATGACCTGCTGGAGGTGCTGGACATGTACCCTGAGTTCTCAGACCATTTTTGGTCTAGCTTGGAGATCACCTTCAACCTTCGAGATGTGAGTGGGCCATCCTGAGCTGGCCTCATCCCCAAAGAGCTGCTTCTTGTTGGGAGGCTGCCCCTTCACTGTGTGACTTTGAACATGCAGCTCCCCTCTTGTTTCTCAGCCTGTCAAGTGGCATCACAGTCAAATCAGGCTCTGAAAGTCCTAACTTCAGCTCGTTCAGGGATATGGACAGAGGGGGAAAGATTCTTCCCTTCAACCCCAAAGACCCAGCCCTACTTCTTCCATGTTAACGAATGGGGTGTAGCTGGCCCTCGGTCAGCCAGGAAGGGAGCAGCAAAGGGCCCTGACTCTGCTCTTGGTTGCAGACCAACATGATTCCAGGCTCCCCCGGCGGCAGCGTGGAACTAGAGAGCGGCTTTAACAGGCAACGCAAGCGCAAGCTGTCATTCCGCAGGCGCACAGACAAGGGTGAGGTGGCCAAGGGGAGGGCAGAGGGGAGTGAGGGCAGGGTCAGGCTGTGCAGGCTCCACCCCCTGTCCAGCAGACTGAGTGCAGTCCTCCAGCGCATTCCCCCTCTGTCCCTCCCTTCCGTTGTCCAAATGCTGCCATCTTTTTATGCCATGTTTGAACCATCATCTTCTTTGGAAAGACCTCTCCTACCTTCTAGGACAAAGGCTGGGCTTTTGGTCTTCATTAGGTCTGAGTGTTGCCTGGCAGGCCTTGAGGCGGGAGGAGGTGGGAGGGGGCGCACGAACAAAGGAACGTGAGGGGCAGGCTGGCTACAGAGACCCAGAAATCCGGAAGCAGCAGTGTCCTACTGGTGCTGATGAGCCAGGGCATGGCAGGGGCGTTCTCAGGCTGGTGAGAGCGGGGCAGGTAAAACAACTGGAGATCGCCCTGCTCTTTTCCAGGCTAGCTCGGCTTCCCTCATCCCCTCCCCGTTTTCCCCTCTCGCTGAGGTTTGTTCTCTGTTTCCCACAGATACAGAGCAGCCAGGGGAGGTGTCAGCCTTGGGGCAAGGCCCTACCCGAGTCGGGGCAGGGTCAAGTTGCCGGGGGCAGCCGGGAGGGCCATGGGGGGAGAGCCCATCTAGTGGCCCCTCCAGCCCAGAGAGCAGTGAGGATGAGGACCCAGGTCGCAGCTCCAGCCCCCTCCGCCTGGTGCCCTTCTCCAGTCCCAGGCCCCCCGGAGAGCCCCCAGGTGGAGAGCCTTTGACAGAGGATGGGGAGAAAAGCAGTGACACCTGTAACCCCCTGTCAGGTAGGGCCTGGGCTGGGGGAGGGGTGGGTGTGGGGGCTTCCTGGATCTCACACCTCCTTTCCGGCTCCAGGTGCCTTCTCTGGGGTGTCCAATATTTTCAGCTTTTGGGGCGACAGTCGGGGGCGCCAGTACCAGGAGCTGCCTCGATGCCCTGCCCCAGCCCCTAGCCTCCTCAACATCCCATTGTCTAGCCCTGGCCGGCGTTCCCGGGGCGACGTGGAGAGCCGGCTGGATGCACTCCAGAGGCAGCTGAACAGGTAAAGGGGGGCCGCCCAGGGAAGTGGGTGCAGGCAGGGTAGGCTGCACTGTGGGAGAACTCGGGTCTTCTCTGGGTTTCTGGTAGTGTTTTGGGGATGCTCTGTCTAGACCCGTTTGTGCCGGGCAGCTGGAGCCTCTCCTTCCTCAGCGGGTTGAAGAGGGAGCCAGAGCTGACTAGCAGTGTTCACTTGCCTGAGTGCTCTTTTTCCTTCTTGCCCCAGGCTGGAAACCCGGTTAAGTGCAGACATGGCCACTGTCCTACAGCTGCTACAGAGGCAAATGACACTGGTCCCTCCCGCCTACAGTGCTGTGACCACCCCTGGGCCTGGCCCCACATCCACATCCCCTTTGCTGCCTGTCGGTCCCATCCCCACTCTCACCCTGGACTCGCTTTCTCAGGTACACTCTGGAGCCCGCTCCCAGCCCCACCCTTTCTGCCCGAGCATCACCCCAACAACCGCTTTGTTACCTCCCTACCCCCTTCTACCTGTTCCCTGCTTTCCTCCTATCCCTGTGCTCAGAAGCAATGCTTGAGTGGACTGGAGCCCAAGGGACCTGCCTGCCAGCAGAGTGGCCTAAGGGCCAGATGTAAACAAGGCCTGGGACCTGGGTCTGGATGCTGCTGCTAGTGTGCCTCAGGGTAGCCTCCTGGTCCTTGCCGAGGCTACATGCTGGGCCCCCAGCCTTGCCTCCGTCTGGGCTCTACTCTAGCACTTTTGCAGCGCTATCATGAAGGCTGCTAGCATTTCCAGGGTGCAAAAGTCAAGACTCTGAGATCTAACCTCCTTGTTCTATATTCTCTTTCTTTTGAGTAGCCTCTCAAGGGACAGTCGAAGCTGGGTCTCTTATGCCAGTTCCAGCTCTGGAGGCTGCTTGAGGGGGGCTCCTGTGGCTCCCAGAGGTGTCCTGGGCTCTGCTCCCCATCCCCTGGCACTGTCCCCCTCCCATATGCTGTTTGCTCTTGTTTGCAGACACCAGGGCCCACGTCAGCAAATGTGCCAGTCTCCCTTCACAGCCTCCCCCGCAGGGATCTCACCAATAGACACGTCAGCACCCACAAAGCCCCCCTGACTGCCCTAGCAGTCTCCCTGGCCTCAGACGCCTGGCCGCTGGCCCACGGCTGTTTCTAGGGCTCCAGAGTTCTTTGAAAAATGCAAGAAGGCACCTTGCCTCTCTTTGTCCCAGCTCCTATTCCAAAGGAGGAACTTCTTCCATTTGGAATTTGTCTTCAGTTGCCCTGTCACATTCCCTAGGGAAGGGGAGGGGAGGCCTTGGACTTTTCCCTGGGTCCAGAGCAAGGTCCTTTGTCAGTGGTGGCTGTCCAGCGGTTCTCAGCTCCTTCACTTTCAGTTGTAGCCTTCTTGTCCCCTCAGGTCCCTGCTCTGCACACCTAACCTTCCTCTGACTTCAGCCTTCCTGTCTTCGATTTCTCCAGTCCTTTTCTCCTCCCTCAGTTTCTCCTGCTATGTTCTTTGTAGGTTTCCCAGTTCATGGCGTTTGAGGAGCTTCCTGCAGGAGCCCCAGAGCTCCCCCAAGACGGCCCCACTCGACGCCTCTCCCTGCCCGGCCAGCTGGGGGCCCTCACTTCCCAGCCCCTGCACAGACATGGCTCAGACCCAGGCAGTTAGTGATGCTGCCCATTGCGGACACATGGCTCACCCAGGGTTCAGGGCATTGCCTGACCTCTTGGAGACCCTGGTTTGGAGGGGAGAACAGTGCAGGAGCAGCTTCTCCCTTTCCCTTGGGACCAGCGTCTCCTCCTGCAATACCCTGGGCCCCACTGGGAGGGCCAGGGGAAGAGCTGGGCAGTGGACTGGGGGTCTGTGGTCCCCCCACTGCCCTGGGGGCATTAGCTGGTCTAACTGCCCGGAGGCACCCGGCCCTGGGCCTTAGGCACCTCAAGGACTTTTCTGCTATTTACTGCTCTTATTGTTAAGGATAATAATTAAGGATCATATGAATAATTAATGAAGATGCCGATGACTATGAATAATAAATAATTATCCTGAGGAGACTCCAGTGTGCTGGTTTGTTTCAGCCATCACCTGCTGTATGTAGCTCATGTTATGATCTGAATGGACTTGAGCTCCCGGGAGTACAGGAGATTCTGTGCAGGGATCCTGGCCTGTCTATGGCCCGCAGGACTGATCAGACACCGCCCCCCCCATGTGTGTGTGCACATGCACAAGCGCATACATGTACATGAAAGCTGGGGAGTACTCCCTGCGGTCAGACAATGTAGCCCTGGGTTTGGGACCACAAAGCCATGTGGACTACTCTGTGGTTAATAGGACACTTCTACCCTAAGTCCAGCCATTCACAACCATGTTGGTTTGCTTTGTGGCACACTGGCTTCCCGAGTCAGCCTCACACTGATAAAGCCTTACACTTGTCTCTCTCAAACAGTTCACAAGTCCAGCTTCACGCTCATTCTCACCTGGTATCGAGGTTTATTTTGGGGTTAAGCCCATTAAACCTCTCAGGATCCAGAGAGATTCGCTATTGCAGGCGAAAGCTGGCTAATTGGATCTGGGGGCAAACTGAATAAATCAACTCATGTGCGCCACCGCTACGTTATTATTCGTTTGCAAGAAGAAGCGGCGAGAAAAAGAAGAAAAAGAAGCATAAGGGGTGATTTCCATAAGGTTTTTTGTTTTTACAGACATAGTTGGAAAATTCCATGGGCAAAGACAATGATAATATGCATATCAAAATCACAAAAAGGGCAGGTAGGACCTGACAAAGCAGCACTCGGGAACAGGTGACAACACCCAGGAAAGAGCCAACATCCAGGGGAAATACCTGGCATTCCAAACCATTAGATAAAGTTACTAAACATCCCTGAATCCCGAACTTACCTATTTCCCTCACCCAGTCTCTTTTGTGATAACCAGCTTTGGGGACACCCAGATTTGTTTGTTAGCAAGGGTGGGGCACACTACCTTCCTGCATCTTCTTTAGAAATTTCTGTGTGGTCTGTTAGCAGGTAATTTTGTGGGATTGACTCTAAATTTGACTGTTAGAACAAAGAGTGAATGTTACCACTCTAAGGCCTCCTGGTGTGGGGGAATGGAAAGGTCATTCCATTGCAGTTACACTGCTGAGGTGTTTTGGGAATGAATCCCATTTTGAAGGGAAGAACTATGGCCTCACAAGGTTCCCACAGATATGACAGCGACTTTTCCAAAAGATAAATGTTCCCACAGCTCTGCAAAACGGGTTATTCCATGTGGACACGCATGTACACACTTCCCGTGGATTAGTCTATTGGTCTGTCAGCTGCACATTTACTGCATGGTCTTGTGGGCTCCAACAACCTGGTCTGAGTCCAATCTCCCTACCCTCAATTGACTTTATATTAACACTGTATAATTAGGCCTCATATGGGTCTAGCTTTGGTTTGGATATACTGGCTTCCCTACTGTGACCAGCACAAATCTATATCTGATTCTGGGTGGATCTTACCCTGATTATCTTTGTCCCTTGTGACTGTTGGTCACAGAGGAGTTACCAAAGAAGGTGGAGGTTGCAAGGTGGCTCATTCTATTGGGAGTAGGTCAAAACAGATTTGAGGACAGTGAAGGTTCCCCTATGCTCACGTGTGCTTGTTGTCCTGGATGAATACTAATTGCCTATTGTTCCTCAGGGAGGGGTGGGTCTTAGAAGCCCCTCCCCTCCCCCCCATCTGTGGTGGCGTGTTGATAGTCTTGAACAGATCTAGTGCAGATGCCATTGCTGCTGGGAGTTCATGGGTAACAGCTGTGCCCAGAAGACAGCACTTCCCAACACTCCTCTCTACTCTCTGGCTCTTGCATTCTTTTCTATTTTCTTTCTGCAATGTTCTGAGCCTTGGGATAACATAGCTGCTACATCTGGGACTGGGTCCTCAACACTTTGACCACTTATGAGTCTCTCCGTTAATCCTTATCTACTGTAAACAAACTGGTTGAGGCTGAGAGTAGCACTCATCTATGGTGTAAACATAAATACTTAGAAAACACTTTGAGCCTGTTTAAGAGATCAACACTACTAGAGGCCTAGAACCTACCCAGCCATGGTTTTTTTGCCTGAATTCTTCCTGGGAAGTAGGTTTAAAGTCCAATAAAAAAAAAAAAAAAAAAAAGCAGTTGAGCCAGACGGTGGTAGCACACACCTTTAATCCCAGCACTTGGGAGGCAGAAGTGGGCGGATCTCCTGGTCCAAAAGCAGCCTGGTCTACAAAGTAAGTTCCAGGACAAGCAGGGTTACACAGAAAAACCCTGTCTTGAAAAAAAAAAGTACTTAGTTAACTCCCATAACATTCCTGCCAAGTATTTTCAGTAGCAGGCTTACCTGATATGTTGCTATTGTATCTTGTAGGGTTCACAGTTAGGGAAGACTTGATGTCTTCTCCCACATAGCCTGCACAGCATTTTTCAGCATGCCAAAAGTGTCCAGATCAGTTTTAACTTGATCTCTCTAAGTTGTGTGGTGTCTTTGGCACCCCATCATCTAGTTTTGAGGGCCGGCCAAGAGAAATGGCAATAGCCTGTATAATTATTGGAATCTTTTGGGTCCTCACTGACCAAAAACTCATAAGAATGTATCCCATTCTTATGGGCTTTATTTAAAAACTCATGACTTCCAGGGTTTCCATGGAGAAATGGCTTAGTGGTTAAGAGCATGGACTGCTCTTCCAGAGGATGGGAGTTCAATTTCCAGCACCCACATCAGGCTGCTCACAACCATCTGTAACTCGAGTTCCAGGCACCAGGCATGCATATGGTATACAGACATCCATGCAGGCACTTGAACAAACAGATAAAAGAAGTGTTAATGAAAAATAAAGTGTGGCTTCTGGGAAGAGCTTTGTCTTCCCATGTAGGATACCTCCCTCTGATCTTCTTAAAAAAGTATGTGTATTTTTGCATTAAATGTGTGTGTGTGTGTGTGTGTGTGTGTGTGTGTGTACAGTCATCATGGTGTATGTATCGAGATCAGAGAGTAATTTGTGGGAGTTATTTCTCTCCCACCAGAGAGATCCCAGAGGCTAAATTCAGGTGTGCACGCCTGGCTACAATTCCATATGGCTTTCTAAAAATAAAATAGAAAAAACCCCTCAAAATATAGGTTTATGTTTTATGTGTCTATTTGAGCATACGTCAGTGGATCCCATAGTTAACAGGTGGTTGTAACCTGCCTGACATGGGTGCTGGGAACCAAACTGTGGTCTTCTAGAAGAGCTGAAAGCACACTTACCCGTGGGCCTATCCTGCCAACCTCCATGTTGCTTCTTCATGCACCATATCTCAGTCAGTGCCGCCCGCCATGGCCTTGCTTCCCTCGTCTCTCTACCCCTTCATAATGCATGGGTTCTACATCTCACCTGCCTTATGGTCTTCCCCCCCATCCCTTCCAGAAGCCCATTGCCAGCTTCTTGACCTCTACAAGCACCCCAAGTTAAACATACAAATTAAAACAGAAAGTACTCGTGGAGTTTGTCTTTTTGGGTCTGGGTTCCCTCATTCAGTATAATATTTTCTGGTACAGGAGAATAGTCTATATTCTGTCAATTGCGTTTTAAATAAATGCTGATTGGCTAGTAACCAGGCAGGAAGTATAGGCGGGACAACCAGACAGGAAGTAGAGGCAGGGCAATGAGAACAGGAGTATTCTGAGAAGGAGGAAGCCCATTCCGCTGCAGTCTAGCCCAGATCATGGAAGAAGCAGGTCACTGAAAAAGGTACCAAGCCATGTGGCTAACATAGATAAGAATAATGGGTTAATATAAGGTATAAGAACTAATATGAAGCCTGAGCTAATGGGTCAATCAATTTATAACTTATGTAGACCTCTCTGTGTGATTTTCTTTGGGACTTGCCGGCTGTGGGAACTGGGCAGGACAGAAACCCTCACAAGCAAACCCACCTGTTAAAATTTTCCAGTTCCATTCATCTTCCAGAAAATTAAAAATTTCATTTTCCTTAGAGCTGAACAATTTCCTTGTGCATATGTCCTATTTTCATTATCCGTCAGCTGATGGGCATCTAGGGTAAATCCACTTCTTAGCTATCATGAGCACGGCAGCAATGAACATGAATGAGCAAGTGTCTCTGTGGTACGACCCGGCATCCTTTGGGTCTAAACCTAGGAGGAGTATAGCCAGGTCATGTTGTAGTTTTAGCTTTTTGAGAAACCTCCACACTAGTTCCCATAGTGGCTGCAGCAGTTTACCCTCCCAGGTGCTTTTCTCCCTGCCGCCCCCACCCCCGCTGGAACTCACTATGTAGATTAGTGCTTAGGATAATTCTCCTGTATGCTGTGAATATATATTCCTCTCATTGGTTAATAATAAAGGTGATTTTGCATATAGCAAGGCGGTGTAAGGCGAGGCATGGAAGCCAAATTGAAAACACAGAGAGAAGAAGGGCGGGTTTGAGAGACAGAGAAGAAGAAGGGCAGGGTCAAGGGAGCAGCCGCCCAGGGAAGCAAGATGCTAGCTAGCTAGAGAACACATAGTCACGAAGTCACCTGGCGAAGTGTGGTTTAATTTAAGTTGTAAGAACTAATTAATAGTAAGCCTGAACTGTAGGCCAAACATTTTGTAATTAATATAAGCTCTTGTGTGATTATTTGGGACTGGGTAGCCGGGACAGAAGAACAGCTCCGCCTCTGCTTACAGATTAGATTGCCTACCTCTCTCTGCCTCCCGATGTTGGGACTGAATGCTTGTGCCACCGTGTCTGGCGCAGGTGCTTTGCTTCTGTCAGAAGCAGCTTCTGGACTCTCCTGGGAAGTAAGCATCCTCGGGTAGATGGCTTGGTGAGCAGCTGGTTGGTGGTCACACGGTTAGTAGCAGGCAGGTGTGTCTGACTCCCATGTCCTCCTCACAACCTCTTCTTATGCCTGCATGGCTTGACACTCAGCTCCCCTCTGGGTTGGACCTGGACCCTGGCCTTCCATTCAGTTCTGGGAAGCGGAGGAACCCTGATAGTTGTAACCCTTCCTCCCTGGCATGGCTAGGGGATGA